TTCAGTTTGTGGGTGCACCAGGAGGTTGCCTAGGTAGCAGAATTTGATGATGTAGTGAGTTGAATGGTTACCCCCGAAAGATAGGTCCACCTGTAACCTGTGAATGTAACTTTTTTTTTAGAAATAAGGTATTTGCAGATGCAATTAAGTACTCTGAGATGGATCATCTTGATTATCCAGGTGGGCCCTAAATTCAATGACTAGTTTTCTTAGAAAGGCAGAGGGAGATTAAAGAAAAAGCGCTGAAGGCCAGGAGAGATGGAGGCAGAGACTGGAACAATGCAGCCACAAACCAACCAATGCCTAGAGCCACCACATGCTGAAGATCCAGGTATGGATCCCTTGGAGTCTCCAGAGGGAGCATGGCTCTGGCAACAACTTGATTGCAGACTCTGGTTTTCACACCTGTGAAACATACATTTCTGTTGTAGTAAGCCACCAGGTTGGTGGTAATTTGTTACTGCGACCCTAGCAAACAAATACAGATTTAGATCAAGAAAATTTCTGTCCCCCAATATATTTCCAGTGTTGCTAAACATTTTTAAAAAGTACAGCCTTTTTTTAAAAAATAAAATACATAAGGTCCTTGGGAAAGATAATAGATTTCAGAATCAATTTTTCACATTATATTCTCTGTGACTATCTGGCTTGCATGTGTAGCAAAGCATTGAGCATGTACTTAGAAGGAAGTCATTCTAAAGAGGTGAAGGGATTTGGCTTTAAAAGAGCAGCGTGACTGGCAAAGCAACTTGTTTGGCATTTGGCCCAGTTCTTCCTCATTATTTCAATGCTCCTCAATGAGAGAAGCCAAGGTTTGGAGAAATCTCAAGCAGTATTGCATCAAAGATCCCGCTCTGTGCTAATTTCCTTATGCCCCGTGCCATAAGTAAGGCATCCATGAGACCAATGGAACATGTCCCCCAAACTAGCAACTTCCCCTCTCACATGATTCAGACTCCAGGAATCCCAGAATTCCTTGCTAAATAGCTCCAAGCCCTTTTCCAAGGCCTCTGCAGGCTTCTCTTCTAGGTCTCCCTCCCCGGGTGCATCACACTTTCAGTGTGCACACTCCTGGGCGGTTGAATTAAAGGCCCTTCTCAGCACAGAACGGGGCAGGAGGTGGGCAGACGAGGCTCCCTGGGGTCCAGGACCCATCTCTTTTAGCACCACCACATTCTGGGCAAGAGTTTTGATAATTCTGTACTGAAACATGGCCTTCCTGCTCTTTATGGGATATATTTGTCAAGTGAGGAGGATCAAGCCTATTGTATTAAACTGTTTGTTGGCTTGGTATAGAAATTCAATAGTTAGACAAACGAATGTAGGTCTGCATTTGTATCCTTGCCCTGCGCCCAGCAGAGGTTAGGGGGTGGCCCTGACTCTGAGACGCACGGAACTTTAATAGCCCTTGGAAGGTGAGGTAGTGAGCCAACAGCAGTCCATAAAAGGCAGGACATAAAAGACAGAATCACAGCGCCGCGAGTGCCATGGGAGAAAGGACTGGGAAAGGAATTGGTAGTAAAACTTAAGAACTGCATCAAGCCTGTAAATGACTACAAGGTAGAAAGCAGATACAGGCTTTCCCATCTCTCAGCTATTGGAGTTTAGAAAAGACACATAAAGTCATTGAACTGCAATTTATTCAAATACTATAAAACCGGGATGTTTAAACCCGTGCCAAAGAGTGAGAATGAGAATTCAGAAAGGAGTGAACTAAAGTCTTTGCTTTAAGTGAGGGCACGTGGGGAGGGCCGTATACATTGTACTAACAATTTCTCTCGTGATTTTGCAGGGCTTAATAGGATGAGACTTGGCCTGAGGTATATTACACTGGAATGTATACCTTACTCAAAACATCAAATGTGTCGGGAAAAGAGGCAAAACTGTTACCCAAAGCTGAGTTTGGCCTGGACATATACCTATGTGTGGTGAAAGTGAGCCACCTGAGAGATGCTGTAAAAGTGATTGCTTCTCTGGTCTACCCATTTTAACCCGAGTCATAAATGTGAGTTTTAAGTGTGATTTTCAGTTTGGGTTAGCTCAGACCAGACATCTCTTTGACATGACACAGAAGGAGAGTTATTATCACTATTTTTTAATAATAGTGTTCTTTCTAATTTATGAGAAAATAGCTGGGCTATTAAAAATAAGGCCATGTATATGTAGTTCATTAAAAAGCAATTTGGGAATCATTACATATGATAAAAAAAAGTTATCAATAGCACACTCTTAACTTTCATTCTCTCTTTACTAATATCGGGTGAGTCCGTGGTCACCTGGGAACACGGATGGGAACAGTGTTTTGTTTTGTTTGTTTTGTTTTTTTCCCCCAGAGTTCCTTACTGCTTTGTCTTAGCAGAACTTAATTTCCTTTGTGGCTGCATCTCCTGGGTCCTTCCCAGGTGGCTGGGGTGGTTGCTTCTTATATCAAGGACTTCACTGTAATTGCAGAGATTTTTCTTTGCTACAGCTACAGCCATGGAAAGTTCAGGTTTGAAGGAACAAAGTCTGTACTAGGTGTTCCTAAGGGGACTCTTCCTGCACTCCAGTCTGCAAAAAGCCAGCCTGCTTGCTGTGGGCTTTTCAGTCGCCAGGGAGGAATGCTTGTCTTTTTGCTTTCTTGGGTCAGCTCCTTACTTCTGTCTCAGCTCCATGTATTTGCTCTGTCTGCCTACTTGATTTCACACTGTTCTTAAAGTAGTGGCAGTGGGTGGTATTTTAAGACTCATGGCACTTTTTTTTTTCTTTCTATATTCAAACAGGAGCTCTCCAATTAGGTCATAGCTAAATATTGATTCTCCGTTAAGCAGAAACATAAATACCATTTTATTTCTTGTGTGACACCATTAAACATCCGCCTTGGCTACAACAGTCCAAGTATTATGATCTTTTACTATTTCTTACCCAGTAGTCATTTGGCTGCTGAAACTCCCAGGATAGAGAAAGCTGAGAAAATGAGAAGAGAGAGCTGGTACTCTACCACTAGGCCAGAATACTATAGCTTAGCGGTGGTCGACAACTTCGATTTTAATTTTTAGGCACCATCCTGTAAGAGCTTTCTTGAGAGCTTCTCAATAGGCGTGATGAGTGTGGAACGCTAGAAGATGTAGCCGATACACTAAAAGTCAGAATCAGGTGACAACAACATCTTTACATGGGAATGATGAGCAGATTCCAACAGTGTCAAATGCAGGATGGACACGTAAATTTCTGCACTGAAGTTGGACAACTTGCCGTGTAGGTGCAGGATGGGAGATGGATCTGAACAGGCAGATGTTTGCCAGAGGTTCTATCTCACACCAGGACTGGAGGCTGATGTCTGCAAAGCTCTTCACTCTCCGGCCTTTACCTTCCTGCCTAGCCTCATATCTGATGACATTTTCTCCCAACCCACTCCCTTCACTCGGGTAATGGGGAGTTAGATTTTAGCTCTATATAAGAGGGAATTTCCTAACAACAGAGCTGTCCAAAAATAGAATGAACTTTCTCCAGAAGCAGCAATAACAGGGTTTCCAGCTGAGGCTTAATAACCTTTTATAAGGTAATTGCAAAAGGGATTGAAACAGTGTAACTAAGAAAATAGACTTTGGAATAAAAAAAATGTTCAAAGTCTCTCTCGATAGATGCATTGTTTTGGGTAGAATGGTGGTTTCTGGAACTCAATGGTCTAGTTTCCAATGCAGGTCTGCCAGGTACTAGCTGTGTGACCTCGGCATGTCATTGAAGCTCTCCTGGCCTGAATCATCTCATCTACAAAAGGTGGACAATAGTACATTTCTCACAAATACTATCCTCAGCATTGTGTGAGGATTAAGCAGATAAACACCCAGAAAACTCTTGGACCAATATCTGACATATAGTAAGCATTTAATAAATGCTAATAATTATATGTAACTACTTAAACCTATGTTTTATCCTTGGTAAAATAAAGATAATATTTTCCTTTTAGATTTCCTTTGAAAAGGAAATGAAGTATGATTAACGTAATATTTAACATGCTAAACAATTGTGATTATTACTGATGAAATGTTGTGCAGAATATAATATCTAATATTTCTCACATGATCCTGATTTAAATGAATCTCCAATGGCCAGACAGCAGAGGGATTTTCCAAGCATTCTCTTTGGTGGCAGATGCCTATAGCTTGCATACTAAAAAAAAATTTCATCATTCCAGGTTGGAGAATGGAAATTGATTTCAAAGTCCCTATATAATTTTTCGACTATATTCTAAAAACTATGAATTCCTTTTCAGTCTAATCACCTACAGGGAACTGTCAGTATCAAGACACATGTGAATTGTGTTTCTCTGTGAATAATAATTTTTAAATACATCTCTTGACATTGTGGAGTTAAAGATATCTCTAATACTCATCTTTTAACTTCTCTCTTCTACTCTGGTATTAACATGTTTGGACCAAGACACCTACCTATTCCCAAAGTTTCAACGCTCCTATGAATTGGAATTGAGCTCTCCTTTCAGCTGCTTTGATTTTAGCTTTCTAATAGCTTTTTGAGCGATTCATTTATACCTCTGTGTAACAAACACTAACTCGTCTGCATGCAGGGGGCCTACAGAAGATACAAGGGGGGATAAGATCTCACCCCAGATTTTTAGGTTAACATACTGTCGTTGGGATGGAGGAAGGATGTAAGAAATATGTCTACAAGATAGTTAATTATTAGCACAAAGAGTTGGCTGTTCAGAAGGTGGACACCATCAGTACCTTGGGGTTCAATGATGACTCTGGACCAGGGGTGGGCAAACTTTTTGACTCAAGGGCCACAATGGGTTCTTAAACTAGACCGGAGGGCCGGAACAAAAGCATGGATGGAGTGTTTGTGTGAACTAATATAAATTCAAAGTAAACATCATTACATAAAAGGGTACGGTCTTTTTTTTTTATTTTTATTCATTTCAAACGGGCCGGAACCGGCCCGTGGGCCGTAGTTTGCCCACGGCTGGTCTAGACACTCAAATTAGGCTCCTGGTGAGATGCGTGCTTGGGGGCCTAGTTGATGGGAGAGCCCTTTGGTGTGTAGCTCTCACACACACTTCGTGTTGTCAGGTTTTTAGTTTTGGAAATTCAACGCCTGTTGCTAAAGAATTCTTGAGACTTGCTGTTCGAGCACAGTGCTGGTTTTCTGTGTAGCTCACCATTGCTCCAACACGGAAATGCCCACGCCATTGATTCTCTTTCTTTCCTAGGTGGCGCACATGACAAAGAGTGAAATGCATTTGCACGACACAGCCTTCATAGGCCCAGCACTTCTGTTTCTGGATCAGTATTTCAACAGCTTTATCGATGAATATATTGTGCTTTGGATTGCCCTGGTAGGTATTATATTTCCTGATGTGGAGGCTACTTACTGTTTCAGTGGGCCAGTCCTGAGAGATCCATCTTGCAATTGTAATGATTTGGAATGTCAAAGCCTCATTTATAGGACTTTGTGGGAGTTCCTTGTGGCTTCATCTTTGAACCATTTTTTACATTATTTTTAATTCTGCCTGCATTAGGGCTTATAAATTCCATATTTCTGTAAAGCAGGAGTTGGCAAACTACACCCAGGGTGCCAATGGCCTGGTTTTGAAAATAAAGTTTTATTGGAACACAGCCATGGCCATGCATGTCTGTGGCTGCATTCATGCAATGATGGCAGAGTTGAGCATTCGTGACAAAGACCGTGTGGTCCGCAAAGCCTGCAATAATGACTGTGTCTCTAAGAAAGAGTTTGTTGACCCTTGTTGTAAAGGAAGAATCAGTGAGTTCTGAGATGTTAAATTGTATGGAATGGAGGGTGACTCTGAAGAGAAGGGGAGAAAGCCAGAAGCCACGCCTCTGCACTGTCGAAGCTGAGGGCACCCTACGCAGGTCAGGTGACTCTAATCGTCGTCTCTTTTCGTTCCAGGTCTTCTCTTTCTTTGATTTGATTCGCTACTGTGTCAGCGTCTGCAATCAGATCGCATCTCACCTGCACATACACGTCTTCAGAATCAAGGTCTCTACAGCTCACTCGAACCATCACTAGTGATGGCGTCGGTGTGGTATAGGAAACGCGTGCTTTCTGCAGGAAAGAATCTGAACATATTAATGAGAGTGGGGAGGACAAGAACAAGTATAATTTATAATAATCAACGTGGTATAACTTTTATCCTTTGTTACTGGTAACACTCCTTAACGATCCTCTGTGAGAATGGGAGTTTCGAGTCCTGTCCTGTATATTGTACATGTTGATGTACAGGTTTTGGCCAAGCGAGCGTGCGGGGAACAATGCCATGTGCTTATAAGCTCTCCTGGATTCAGAATAAAATTGTCATGGGGGGCTGATCCCCTGCAGTGGAGATTTCTTAGGTAGAATATTTGCAGGCCAAAAGACGGTTGCTTTATAATTTTAACAAATCATCATCGTTTAGTGACATCTTTGATTCATGTCTTCTCAAGCTTTCTTTGCAAAGGAGCTCAGCTCAGGAGCAGATGTACCCCACTGGCGTGTGAGGGGGAGCTAGTGACCAACACCCGGAATTCGGAGGGGAAGGTTTCCTATCTTGACATCGCTGAGGAAGTCATTTTTTTATTGCTCAAGAAATGGAGTGTCTCGTGGGCTGGGACCCTGTCAGCATGCGGAATAATGTACCTTTGTCGATTCATTTTATAGCTGAGTTTTTCAAACTTGCCTTTGCTCTCTGGACACAAGAGACCTGCTGTCTCTATCATACATTCTTTCAAAAACTCGCCTTCAGAGAGAGGTTTGCTAGCTTTTGCTAATTTGAATGATAGCATAAAACTTGCTTTGGTAGTTGTCTCTTGAATTGCAGTTTGTCTGTGAAAGACATTTTGCTGAGTCTGTAATTTAGCCATCAACCTCTGTGCAGTAGCCTCCCGTTCTTGAGGTGACTGCTTGCTAGCATAGTTGCCATGTTTTGTGGCAAAGTGACAGCTGAGATTGTACTCTTTGAAGACTGCAAGTGTTTCCTGGCACACTCAAGGGGCCAAAGAGCCGCATGTGGCTCGCAAGCCGCGGTCTGCTGACTTCGGTCCTAGCCAATGATCTTTTTCCCAGGTTAGACTGACAGGCCTCTCTGGTCAAGCACCTCCCCCTGTGTGATTTTGACTTCTAATGCACTTGTGTTTATCTACCCCTTTGTTCTATCCCTTCCCCCAATTGTCTGCTGGAAATGTGTGTGTGTGTGTGTGTGTGTGTGTGTGAAGCTGTAGCTTTCTGGTGAAGCAAACAGGCTCAGTGCCCCAGCCCATTAGGCTCAACAATGTCTGACTTCCCTTGCTCTCTTTCTATTTATCCATAACTATCTGTTACCAGGATAAATAGAAAGAGAGCAAGGGAAGTCAGACATTGTTGAGCCTAATGGCCTGGGACACTGAGCCTGTTTTCAGACAGACAGCAAATTAGAGAGTGTTTTCCCACAGTGCCTCTGCTGAGCTGGCCTATGCTGAGCCTGGGTACTAGCCTCACCTGATTTCCAGGTGAGATGAAGAGTCACCATCTAAATCAGGGTTGGAGAATCTTTTTTCTGCCAACATCATTCGTGGGCTATACAAAATTATCAATTTAAAAATTAGCGTGCTATATTTGGTCAAACATTTAACTCACCCCTAATGCCTTGGCAGGTCCAGACCAAATGATTTCATGGGCCTAATATAACCTGTGAGCCAAATTTTCCCCACCCCTGATCTAAATTAAGTGGGGGTACCTGGCCAAACCCAAATAAGGAAAGCTTTTCAGTCATGGAAATGAGAAGTAAGAAACATCCATATTCTATCATCATTAGGCCACTGGACTCAACCCACCACCCTCCTGGACACTAACTAACCTAGAGAATGATTCCAACTCCTTAGCAGAAAATTCACTTTCTTCTTTTTTTTAAATCTTTATGCTTGAGATTATTACAGATGTTCCTCTTTTTTCCCTCATCCCCTCCTCCACCCAGTTCCCACCCCGCTCCAGGCCTTTGCCACCCTATTGTCTGTGCCCACAGGTAATGCATATATGTGTATAAGATCTTTGTTTAATCTCTTCCCATCCCCTCCACCTCCTTCCCTCTGAGAATCATTAGTCTGTTCCATTTCCATGTCTCTGATTCTATTTTATTCATTGTTTTATTCTGTTTATTAGATTTCTTATTTGTTTATTTTGATTTTTAGATTCAATTGTTGATAGATATGTATTTGTTGCCATTTTGTTGTTCATAATTTTTATCTTTATCATTTTCTTCTTCTTCCTCTTCTTAAAGAATACCCTTCAACATTTCATATAATACTGGTTTGGTGGTGATGAACTTCTTTAGCTTTTTCTTTTCTGTGAAGCTCTTTATCTTATCCTCAGTTCTAAATAGCTTTGCTGCTGTGTAGAGTAATCTTGGTTATAGGTCCTTGCTATTCATCACTTTGAATATTTCTTGCCACTCCCTTCTGGTCTGCATAGTTTCTATTGAGAAATCAGCTGACAGTCGTATGGGCATTCCCTTGGAGGTAACTTACTGCTTTTCTCTTGCTGCTTTTAAGATTCTCTCTGTGTCTTTAGCCCCTGGCATTTTAATTATGGTGTGTCTTGGTGTGGTCCTCTTCGGGTTCCTCTTGTTTGAGACTCTGTGCTTCCTGGACTTGTAAGTCTATTTTTTTCACCAGGTAAGGGAAGTTTTCTGTCATTATTTCTTCAAATAGGTTTTCAATATCTTTCTCTCTCTCTTCTTCTGGCACCCTCATAATGTGAATTTTGGTGTGCTTGAAGTTGTCCCAGAGGCTCCTTACACTGTCTTCATATTTTTGGCTAATTTTTTTTTCTTTTTGCTCTTCTGGTTGCGGGTTTTTTGCTTCCTCATACTTCATATTGTTGATTTGATTCTCAGAATCCTGTACTCTACTGTTGAATCCCTATATTCACTTCTTATTTAATCATCTCATTCACTAACAGGCAAGCATTGTCATTCGCTTCACAGATGATTCAGTAGACCCTAAGTTTAGCTACTTATGCAAGACTACATGGCTATAAAGTAAGTACCAAGCCTATAATAATGATATGTAACATAGTATTTAAATAGTTTAACTAAGTTAGCTCATTGAATCATCACTAAAACCCTATAAGGCAGTGATGGCGAACCTTTGACACGTGTGTCAGAGGTGGCACTTGAACTCATTTTTTTGGTTGATTTTTCTTTGTTAAATGGCATTTAAATATATAAAATAAATATCAAAAATATAAATCTTTGTTTTACTATGGTTACAAATATCAAAAAATTTCTATATGTGACACGGCACCAGAGTTAAGTTAGGGTTTTTCAAAATGCTGACACGCCGAGCTCAAAAGGTTCACCATCACTGCTATAAGGTATGGCTGTTATTACCATCCCCAGTTCACAGGTGAGGCCACTGAGGCAGAGTGAAGTCAGGTGGCTTGTCTGAGGTCTTACAGCTTATAAGAGGGGAGGCCAGGATTTGAACAAAGACAGTTTACGTTCTAGAACACATACTTACCATGTGTTATTCCAACTCCAAGATTTCAAACTATGACTTCTTATTCCACCGGCAGTCATCCTCCTTCAGCTCACTCCACACCCCTGACCTACACTTACTGCCATATCCCCTCGCATACAGGGGACGGATCTATTTCAAATGCCGATAGAAGTAGAGAGGAAGAAGCATTGGGGTGGGGAGGGGTGGGGGGAGGTGACCAGTCCATTATTGGAAATGGAGATTTGTGAATGCTCCTGAGGAAAAGAAGCGTTTAGGGGCCTGTCCTAGAAATGTAGATTTGAGAGTCAGCAGCAGGAGGTAATAGAGCCACGAGATAGTATCTACTCGTGTATAATTATGTAATTAAAATAATGATACCTTAGAGTCATTTGGTACTTTATAATTTCCAAAACACTTTTACATACACTATTACATTTAATCACCTATAATATTTTTAAATTGAAGCATACTGAGCCTGCTGCATTTTACAAAAATGTTTATTCGAGATATAAAAGGACATAAAAAGACATGATATAGGAAGGCAAGGAACCTGGAATTTGTTGCATAAACAAGCTGTGTGACAAGAAACGTGCCAGATGTTTATGACGTTATCTTACTTAATTTGACAAATTCTGAGGGCAAATCATGTCCTAACTGTACAGATAGGGAAAGGAAGGCTCAGAGAGTTAATGAAAATTGGCCAAGGTCACACCACTGGCAGGTTCTCCCAGGTCTAACTGTGGAGTTCATTCTCTTAAGCAACAACACAACATGCTTCTTTTGCAGTCTTTCCACCTGTGCTAGGTCCTCAAGTGTCATCCAGCAGATGACACTGCCCACATGTATAATTTTAGTTCTTTTTTAATCCTCACCCAAGGCTATTTTTTCCATTGCTTTTTAGTGTGGTGGAAGGGAGGGAAGGAGAGAGAGAGAGAGAGAAACATCAGTGTGAAGTAAAACATCGTTTGCTGCTTCCTACACACCAGCTATTGGGATTGAGCCTGAAACCCAGGCATGTGCCCTGACTGGGGAATTGAACCAACAACCTTTTGATGCACAGGATGATGCCCAACCAACTGAGCCACACCAGACAGGACTCAAAGTCATTGGTTTTAACCCTGACACTTGTTATATCTTCTCTACTCAGTCGCCTACTGACCAAGGCTGATTGCTGGCAACTTTTGCTAAGAGATTTAGGGTCAGGAAGGCTATATAAATAAGCATGACGCCATACTAGATACTGACAAAAGCCCGCCATGCCAACTTGAATAAATGTGTGTTGGATCCAGTCTCCCCTGGGCAGGCTACATGTTCAAAGCTACTTTTCAAGCATCTAGAACGAGGAGTCCCATTTAGGGGCAGTGTGGTGTAGTGGTTAAGACTAACTGGTTTGGGGTGAATGTTGTGTTCAGATCCTACCCCTATTCTTTCCTTACCTTGTAGGTTTGAACCATGATTTCTAAGATATTTGAGACTCAGATTCTCCATTTATGAGATTGACGAATGCCACCTACCTCAGGGTTGTTACATAGATTAATGAATATGAAACATTCGTTACCTATGGAGTACTCAATGAGGCCATTGCTACTATTAATACTTTTATCGCTAAGAGTTACAAGTATAAGATTTTTGAAGATTTATGAGCCTTTTCAAATTTTACTGTAGTTGTTTAGGGAGCTAAGTGTGATATAGACCAGCAGTTCTCAAACTTTGCTATATATTAGAATCACCTGGGGAGCCTTTTAAATTCAGATGCCTATTGCATCCTAGTTTAATCAGATGTCTGGGTGTGGGAACTAGGCATCCATAGTTTTCAAAGACCCCCAAGTGATTACAACCTGAAGCAGTTTGGAAACCACTGACACAGAGGTGTTTTCAGTGTTTTTAACACCTATTTCAAAGACAAAAGTCTGCATCCTGGCCCCTGGTGACCCACCAGGACAGGGCAGTGATCCCAGCTTCATGGCTCTGGTCTGCCTCCCTCTGCCCTATACCTGCCCTTCACTGATGGAACTTTTGCTGCGCCTTCTGCAGTAAACTGATGAAGGCAGAAGAATGGGGGATGTTAAGAAGCAGGGAGCTGGTGGGGTGCTTGTAGAGGTCACAAATTCAGGAAAATAGGGGCTGAGGGATTCAGGCCTCTGGGACTCGAGATGATAAGAGCAGTTATTCAAAGCAT